TGGATTATTGCAAAATGCTAACTATGGTCTTACTGAACAAGTATGATGACTGAGCTTATTGGATAACACTAGTCATACTTAATATTCTAAAATGTTAAAAATCAGTGTTGTACAGTGTTTCCAATCCCATTTGGAAGAGATGCTTCAGGAATCAGACACCGCTGCTTTCATGAATTGCAGAAAGACGTTGACATTCCTATGAGTTCTGAAGCACTTCTTCTGAATCAGATCTGAAGTGCTGCACAGCTGTTAACCATATTAACAAGGGCAGCTGACAGCATATGCCACACAACCACTCAGAATAGCAGACTGGCCAACAGTGAGATGATCTGAATGAAGATTTTGGTATACCCCCAAGTGGAGGTGTTTTTCTGTTTGTTTGTTTATTTATTGTGAGCAATGTTTTAAATTCATCTTAGTTGCAATGACAAATCATTCTGCCAGAATAGAGATACTCATCTGAAATATTTATTGATGTGACTCCTTTTCCTTTCTTTTTCTGTTACAAAATTCAAAGTAACTTATTTATTTACAATAAATATATGTTGTGAGGATGAAAAGAAATAGAATTAATGAACAAAGAATACTTTCCCCATAAGTTATTTAAAAAGTTCAATTTTAATCAGCCATTAAGGTACTTCCAAGCAAGAAAGTGAAAAAAAAAAATCCAAAGCTGCTCTCTCCTTTTCTATCATTGTTTTTCTCCCTTCAACTCCACTCATTTCTTTTCATTCTAGAACAGTCTAGTATTTTTCCATTACACCTCTGCCAAGGCTGTGATTATCAGTTTGCACTTCCTCTGAAGCCTTCTGGGACAGGTACTGATTAGTTTCTCTATGACACTGTGGTTTTTTTTAGTTGATGCCATCCTTACACACATGCAACTCTTGGTATAAGAGAGGAAGGTGTTGGTTAGAGTCAGCAATTCAGTTTGTCTCCATGTATTCTTTGATGTCAATTCCAGGTGTCAAGCATGCCAGACATCAAATGTTCGGGTCTCCTTGGGATCACAGCAGTGCAGATTTCTAGCATGCTACCTAGGTGTAAAGGAATTTAGAGCTAACTTTGGGGAAGTATGAAAAGAAGGAACAAACCATTAAGAAGGGACTTGGAGAAGGGATTACATAGTCCAGAAGGTGAAGCAAGCATGAGAGAGAAACTCAAAATAATCCAGCCTTGATTTTGTTTAGCGTAAGATGGGACAGAGACAAACTTGGACAGGCTTTCAAAGTTCTGTTATTATATCCTAAAATAATAAAGTACCATTCCTAGAATCCCTTCAGTGTTTGTTTCTTGACCTGGACACCTTGAAAAGGGTGTCTCCAAGTCACATTACTACTCTCATCCTCTTCTGTCAAGTCTATCAGACTTGTTGTTGTTGTTGTTGTTGTTATTATATCTGATTAGTTTCCATTTGGACTTTCCAAAATATACAACTACCATTTTGGCCATCTCAGATGGTGATTGCTCTGTGACAATGAAGTCAAGCTGCTGCCATATAGGAACACTACTGCTAGCACCAGGAAGACCAAAAAGATATTTGGTTTGTTTGTCTTATTTTCATGTGCTTTTATATTGCTTCAGTAGTAAAATGAGAAAATTACATTTTTCTAGATAAAATGTTGGTTAGCACACATTTTAATAAAATCCAAATAAAACTAGAACCCTAAACTCATCAAGTGGAATATATAAGGCAACTGACTCCAAAATACAACCAGGATGTACTCAAGGTATGAGCTTTTAAAGCAAGAACACATGAGGCTTGTGTAGCTTTGTTATTAGGTCTCTGTGTTGTCAACCACAAGAACAATGAAGAACAAAACTCATATAGATCATTATATTGAAATCAAAATAATCTTAAAGGAAAAAATGATTTGTTATCTTTTGTTTATTTTGTTAAGCAATATTTTCTTTAAAAATATGCAATAAAATGCCAGTAATAATTAAATTTTGTTCTGGTTGGGTATCATTTCTTTTTATATGAACTAGATTTCTTTTTTATTTGCTAAGTTGCTGGGCTGTTTCAAAATTGGATAATAAAAAATAGGAAAGGTATGATTCAAATTGCATATCATTCTATCTAACAGTTGCATTATTCTGGAGAGGTAGAGAGTTGGTGAGCTGAGCATAACCCCTTAAGGTTTTGCCAGAAGTGACACAAAGGAAATAGGAGTAAATTTTAGAAAACAGCCATTGCTCAGATAGTCGACTGTAATCTGCTTGAATTGGTGTCAGCAGGACCACGGACAGCTATGAGACACTGGCAGTTTGTTTCAGCACATAGAACTCCACTAAATCCTGCTGCAGGTTTAGCCTCCTTTACTGAAGAATGATTTCACTAAATAGACTAATTCAGATATCAAACAAATGATGTTCAGGTAGTGTTTTATTCAGGTGGCATCACATTCATAACGACATCTACTAAGACAGCTGTATTATATGCTTTCAGAGCATCCCCTGTGATTTATTTGGTAACATGCTTAAAAGGAATTGGGAGTATTTTGTAAGGGAGCAGAATTCAAGAAACATTAAGCCTGAAAGAATATATTGCATACATCTGTAAATTAAGCAATAAGTAGTTGCAAAAGAAAACAAAAATTAGGAAAGAAAAATGTGGGAAAATTGAAATTCTTAGACTGTTAGTGCCTAATAGAACTAGGGAGGAAATATGAAATCTCTTCCCAACTAGAAGACTGAAGAATAAAATGAAATTTTATTGTCCTCAGGGAAAGGTAGTCCATGGGTAACCTGGCACCATGCCATATAATGCTTTGCATCGGAAGATCTGTTAGTTTGAATGGTGTTTATATACTGTATGAAACATTATGAACATAAAAGGAAAAAGCACATTTTCAGATTCAGAATAACCTGTGGCTACCTTCTAAGCATGCTGTTTTATTCAAAAGCATCCTCTTACCTTACTTTCTTTGTGTTACACAATATATCATTTTTGTAAATAAACTTTGGGTCAATCTTGGGAAGTTGCTGTTAAGGAAATGGGAATGTATTTTGATCTTTTTGTTTCCTTCTTAGCTTTTTTTAAATCTCTTTTGAATGGTGTGTAAATGTGGTTTATATCTGTGTGTCTATTGATGGCTGATTTGCCTGAGTACTAAGCTTCCAGGAATTCCCTAGCATTTTTGGATTTATCTTGGTCTAAGATGCTAACAGTTTCCCAGTTGAAACTGTGGTTGAGTCTGTCCATGTGTTGTGAGATTAAGGAGTTTTCATTGTGTCTTCTGACTGCTAGTTGGTGTTCATGAATGTGCTCTGCTAGTCTTCTGCCTGTCTATTCTACATAGTGGCTGGTACAGTCCTTACACTGTATGTTGTAGATGATTCCTGGTATTTCTTCTTGGGCTACTGGGTCTTTTGGTTTACTTAACATGTTTTGGAGAGCTTTAGTTGGTTTGTGTGCTTCTTGGGCTACTGGGTCTTTTGGTTTACTTAAGATGTTTTGGAGAGCTTTAGTTGGTTTGTGTGCTGTGGTGATACAATGTGGTTGTAATAATCTGTATGTTGTTTCTGCAATGTTTTTGATGTATGATAGTATTATCCTTTTCATAGTTTGTGTTGGTTGTGCTGTAGTGGGTTGAGTGGTCAGACACTTTTTGATAAAGTTGCATGGTAATCCATTTTGTTGGAAGATGTTGTATAGGTGGTCTGTTTCCTTTTTCTGGTGTTCTGGGTTGTATAGAGATAAACCGCATTTACACATTTACACACCATCCAAAAGAGACAGTAAAAAATTAAGAAGGAAGAAAAAAGATCAAAACACATCCTCTCCAGCAGCCTACACCCAGATAAGCAGGGATTAACACCTGACAAACAATCAAGCAGAAAACAATACCCTAATCAAGGTACTGCCAAGGAGAAAACCACACCCCCACCAACACTGGCAGGGGAAGCCACTGTATATAAACAGGGAAAAACCCCACACTCACTAGCACTGATGGTTACCTAGCTATGTAGTGAAATGTCTGCAAGCAAACAACCAAGCTCAGAGAGCACCAAGGATTCCACAGTTCATCCCTGAGCTACACGTACTCTTTTCTATTGAAATGGGAACTGAAAACCTTTAGGAGATGTTACATAGGTTCTTGTGTGGTTTTGTAATTGTGATTGTTTGGAGCTGTGATGCAAGGCATTTTCTGAGAGCTTATTTTTGTAGAAAATATACTATTGTTTCCTTCCTCTTAAATATTGTTATATTCATCTATATTCAGTCATTTTGAAAATTGTAATTTTACCTTTCCCTACTTGATGCTCTTCAGATTCCTAGAATTCTGGCTGGACAGTCTTGGAATTTCAGTCCTTTTATCTGGAGAGCATTAGACCAAGGAAGACTGCTTGCAATTGTTTTAATTATGGCATTTCATAAAGTATTGTTCTGTACTGTGGCATATATTCATTTTATATCTCTTGTACATAGTCTGGTATCTGTGAAGGAAAAGGTAAAAATTAATTGCATTCATTGACTATTGGTATTTAATCAGCTTTTAAGAAACTGTGTCATTTTTAAGAAGTCAAGGCTCATTAGACTACATCATGTATCCTTTTTTTGTAGTATGAACCATTCATATTAAAAACTGGAAAAAGAGAGAGAGATATAATATAATATAATATGCTATTTATATACTCCAACTGGAATTATGCTTTTACTCAAGAAACCTGAGTTGGACAGCAATATGTAAAGAGTCAGGTGCTAAAAGAGGCTTGTTGAATATGTATTACTTAAATGAGAAAAGTATCCCAGAACAGATGCATTACTTCAACTGTACTCATCCCAATGTTTAATTGTAATGTTTAATTTTAATGCATATATTTAAAGCTTTTTACAATGAGCATCTATTTTTAATTGTTCATTCTTAATACTATAACATTACTACAGTAAAAAAAAATAGTAATTTTTTGAATAAAATACCATTGTTGCAAATAAGTATGTAAATACGAATCTGCTGCAAATTTTTAATAACTATTAAATTATGTATTTATTTTACAGGTCTGAAGGTGAAAATGCAAGAAACATCAGGTATGATTCTCAGATTTCTTTCTTCTGATCCTGCTTTTCAGCCTTCTGGCTAAGATCAAGTGTTGGAGTTCTTTTGATATTGAATTAATTGTGACAGCTACTTATTCTACTTTTTCCTTTCTTCTTTTTGTATTTTTTTTCCTTTCTTTTCAACAGAGAACATTCATGCTTACAGGAAAGATATATTTAGCAGCATTTTGCAAGGCCAAGGTTCTTATATTTTACTTGCAGATTTAATCATACATGCCAAAGTATTGGACTTTAGTTAAGAATAATAAAATATTTTCTGTGTTTAAGCAAAGTTGAGATTCAAAAAAATATTTTAGAAAAGTGCTCTTTATTTTATTCTGTGTCATACTATGCAACAGCATTTGATCTATCTATCTATCTATCTGTCTGTCTATCAATCAATCAATCAATCACTGGGCCAAAGTGATTGGTGGTAAGAGCGCTCGGGGCTGTGACTCCTAAGCTGGGAGAGTGGCACCAGCAGATCCCAGGAACAACATCAGGGCTCTCTGTCCAGAAGAGTGCAGCTTCTGAGAACAGCTCATATACTGCTCAGAACCCTCAAACTCCCAGGCCTCTGGTAGAGGACCCGAGATTGAGGAAGACACATACCACTCATAGGGGTGAGAGGGGAATTATATATATATATATATTTCTTTAAATATATTTCTGTATGTTCATAATACAGATGCTTGAGAGGTTTGAATGCCTCTCTACCTGTAATCAAAGATCTGAGCTGATACTTCTTTCATAAGTGCAAAACATTTATCTGTGATACTCATGCTGGTGTTTCCAGGTCTGACTGTTGCAGTTCTTTCTACATTAGGTTTTGTATTTACTCTAGAAACTTCAATTAGCATAAAACTCAGCTGATAAGCTGATTTCTGGAAGAACTCAGAAACAGTATCACATTTATGCTGAAGGCACTGAATTGCATTGATTACTAATTTGTTTCTAGGTAAAATGCAAGGGTTTTTTTTGTGTTTTGTTTTCTGTATGTTCGAGTCAGTGTTTATTTCTGTCAACTGCCAGGATTAGTCCCTGCAGTTTTCTTGGCAGTAATTTCAGAAGTGGGTTGAGTTTGCCTTCTTCCTAGGGTTGAGAGAACGTGACTGGCCCAAAGTTATCCAGCTGGCTTTGTGTTAGAGACTAGAACTCATGGTCTCCCAGTTTCTAGCCTGATGCCTTAACCACTATACTAAACTGGTTCTCAAAATGCAAAGTACTGATCATTATTATTCAAGCTGCATACAACTGGGGTCCAGGTTACTTCTGACAATGTCTTCTTCCCTGATCCCACTTATTGAGTTTATTTGAGGAAGCTTGCCTACAGTTGCTTTGATGTCAACTCACAATAACTTGGAATTAAGCCTTCTCTATAGTTTTTCTGGATTTCTGGAATATACTCTGTGCTGAATTGAAGAGCCTCTTTTCTTAATTGAGTTTTTTTTAAATTAAAATTAAAAAGAAACCCTTTTGGAAGATAGACACGATATAAAAAGCACCCATTTTAAATAGGCTTTTTATTTATTATTTTATTTCAATTTTATTCCTTCTGCTTTTAATTCTGGTTTGGGGTTTATGTTACTAACCACAAAGAAACTTCAGTAATTGGCAGAGTAACATATTTAATAAAATAAATAAATATTTTTCTCTATTGAATGTATACTTGCAACACCAAAAAATATGAGGAAGAAATTTATGATTTTACACTGAAAAATGTAAGAAAGCCAATATTTTAAAGTGAATTGGCTGAGTGATAAAATGTGTGCAGCTATTTGTTCCTTTTGGTTAACCATTGAAAATATTTATAGAAAATGCTGTTCCTTTTGGTTGCTGTTCAGTATGCAAGTTCAGTGTAGAAGTGGACTCAAATGGAGATAAACAAAGCACATTTCAGACCAATTAGGTTGGCACTTTGAATCATGCTTATATTTCACACATTGATTTAGGTGTTTACAAAAATGTCATTTATGCCAACTAGGAATGCTCAATAAATGGCATGTCATCTCAGTACTTATTAGATATGTTTTTGTGTCATTTCCTCATTGAAGTTTTTTTCAGGAGATAATTTGCATATTCCTGGTGTATTCTGGAAATAGAGTAGAAGTCACTGTGAGCAACAGAGGAATTGGAATTCATCTGACCACCTCAAGCTAGCTGCCCAGCATCTGACTCACCAGATGATCAATTGCACAGCCTCGGTGTATTCTGGGAAAAAAGAATTTTATTTGCTTTTTCCCCTTTTCTTTCTTAGTCTAGCAAGTGTAGGAGACATCATGGTCAGAAATGAGGTTCTGGCAGTTGCCTACAACAGATGTGCCATGTTTGCTTTGTTCGCAGAGGAGAAAGAAGGCTGTTAAATATCAACTTGTGGAAGTCCTTAAAACAAAGATTGATAAACTGGAGGCCAGAATATTACATGTATACCTCACTTGTCAAGATAAAGACTTGTGGATTCTATTGCTTTCCAAAAGCAGAAGAGCAATGTGATGTTTACAACTTCTAAGGATGAGAATGAAGGCACCTGGCAAAAGGACCACAAAGCAAAACATTGCCCTACATCTTGGCACCTAATTCTTATATCTAGGCTTCAAAAACTTATTAAAATAAAATATTTAAACATTTTTTTAAAAATCCAGACTTCAAAGAAGCTTCTAGAAACATGAGTGAGCTATAGAAGACTCCTACAATCGAAGCTGTGCCATCTGATCCATATAGATTGATTCATCACCAATCACATAGAAGAAGAAGTTAATAGGCTACTCCCTCTTGAGAGGTACAGAAGCTCCCATTTGTAATCTAGGTATTTCATCTCAACATGTGTATTATCTCTTAGGTATCTGAATCTGAGGGGTGATGGAAAGACTGACAAGACTCACCCATGTGGGCAAACCCATGTCGGTTTTCATCAGTTAATTCCCATCAAAGTCCAGCAAGAGAAAGAACCATGTGTCATGTTAATTCCTGGTTGCAACAGACGTTTCAGTATTTCAGTAATGGTATAAACCTCAGGGAGGAACGGCTGCTTTGCAGAGATGGAATTCATCTCACTAAGGAGAGAAAATAGATTTGTAGCTATGGCTGATTAATCTGAACAGTAGGCCTTTAGACAGCAGCAAAGTGAAGTGTTTTGGAAATTACTAGTTTAACAAAGGGGGAATAAATATCAGCAAAAAGGGAAAGTGAACACAAGGAGTCTAACTCTGCCTTAAATGCCTCTACATTAATGTATTAGGAATAGGTAACAAGCAAAATGAGCTGGATGTCATGAGGCACACAAAGTAGGTGTGATATAATAAGGGTTATGGAAACAAGATAGGATTAATCCCGCTAGCTGAACATTGGGCTTGATGGAAGATAACTATCAGTGAAATAGGGAGAGCAACATTCCTTCCTCTTTGTGGTCTCCTGTGCCCAGTATACAGTCTGCAGGGAAAGGAGGAGTCACCAATATTGTTCACCTCCTATCCCATTAGTGGATGCCTTTGTTGATGAGAGGAAAAATCATTCAATCACGGAGCAAATTTGGTGACTTTAGGTTATTAAATGTCTTTCAGCCTAACCTAGCTGACAGGAATGTTGTTCTGAAGATGAAATGAGGCATGAGAGATTGTAGGAAAGTGGGGGCAAGCCAGTTGAAATAGTAACTCATGCCAGTTGCTGAGAGACTTGAGAAGATGCTTCAAAGAGACCCTGGCTTACTTAACTCACTCTAAATATGGCTAAGAAATTCCTATTACAGTTTCCAAGATTCTGTATTACCCCAGATTAGAATTAGAGCTGTCTTACTGAAACCATGTTGGTCTTGCTTCCTTGGTCTTGCCAGCTACATGGGGCTTTACATGAGAGGAAACCACCCATATTTGTCCCAGTATCAGTGCAATAGCAACTACATACTGAATTTTAAAAATACTAAGAATAAGTATTAAGAGGTACAAATATTGGGATTTCCTCCTTATTCATTGCTGAGGAAGAACATCTGCTCTGGTAAAAACAGAAAGCTTTTTCTATTTCTTAGGAACTATCATTTAATTTATTCACAAATCACAGTACAGTGTAGAATAGTTTTCCACTATGAAGAATCTGAGTTCAAGCTGCTGGCTCTCCAGATAGACCTTGAAAAAATTCTGTCTGAAGTTGTGGAAAGATTTTATAAATATAGATATCTCTGAGCTACATGTACAAATGTTCTGTGTCTCTACAAATCCAGTCAAATCCAATGGTCAAATCCAATACTTTTATTACAATCATAGATCAGGATTTCTACAAGGTTCAGATATAACATTGTTCTAGGTCATATTGATATAAGTGGTGTCCACATACCTAAAAGCTACTTCTCAGAGGAAGAAATTACCATTGTTTTTGTAGTGATAGCCTTTTTACTACTTGCTCTTGATCAGCCATTTCTAACCTGGATGTCTTTTAGGTGTATTTACTTCAACTCCATCAATTTCCCAACCAACACGGCTTTGCCTGAGTCTTCTGGAATACATCTGTATCACCGCAAAGGACAGGACACAGAATTGCTCTGTTACAGGAAGTTAAAAAAAAAAGTGGTTAATAGAAAACATAACAATAAGTATCAAAGTATTAACAACATAAATGTGTGTGTGGCTAATGAACACATGACTATGTCATCTCAAAAATAAAAACGAATGGAACAATATTCTTGTACATCCTTTGATGTCGTAGTTACTAACAGTTTAAATGAGCAAATTGCTTGAAAGTAGCACAAAGGTCAGTGAGATTCAATGTTCATATTTTATGCAGACTTACTATATTTTTTTAGTTATAGCTAAATATTCTTTATATTACATTTTGCTACAAACAATGGGTATTTTTGGCATTTTGAAGATTATTTGCTTTATAACTGTTTAAGTTCTTATGCATGTTAAATGCAATTTTTATTTCAAAGTTTACATCTCACATAGTTACTTAATAGTTTTAATTTTGCAATACAGTTAATTTGTCTACAATAATTGTTTTTC